CTTCTCTAGAAGTATCCACTATTATGAATTTTTCTGTATTTATACTTTTTACGTGAGATAGATATACATATAGAACTAGCTATAGATACACAGATATTCATAAGTAATCTACAGTAATGTTAGTGATTTCATATTTTACAAAAATTGTTTTATACTATTATATGCTTTTTACACTCTGTTTTATGTTTTTGAGATTTGTCTGTGTTGAGATATTTAAATCTTGTTAATTCACTGAACAATGTTAATATGCCACAATTTGTTTATCTATATCTTTAATAGGAAAGAGTGGGTATTCTCTGTTTTTACACTGTTACTTGTAAGACTTATGAATTTGATGTAGTTTGTGCTATGTGACCTTCTCTGATGGTGCTAAATTATTCATCAGAGTGATTGTAGCAATACTATGCAGTCTCAGTGGCAACATGTAAACATATTATTCTTGTTTTTAAAATCTGATTTCAGTGTAGCTTTGTAGTACAGGGTATTACTGTTCCGAGTGTGTGATTCTTACAGGTAGAACAAAACCTACAGGAAAGCAGTCTTTTGAATACTGCAGAAACAAGTTTTTGAACACTAACTGTGTGGCCAGAATATCTTTTAGAAGATTTCAATTGATAAAACACACATGCAAAATATTATTTCAACAGGAGCTATTCAACGTGTGAATAGGAGTGGCTAGGGGTCAGACAGTCATATGTCTAGGCTCACCTCTGTCACTAAGTATAGAGAGGAGTTGAACAAATCATTTAACCTATGTTCTCTGAACTTCAGTTTACTTACTTATAATGTATTGGCAAACAAATATATTCCCTGATAATCTTACACATTAATTGTGAAGTTCTTTTATTATGAAAAATTTACAATGTAGAGAAAATGTGAAATAATTATGTGTAAACATCAACATATCTTTCAAGTAAAGTGTTTTTTTTTTCTGTAAAAGATTGGATATTAAATGTTTTAGGCGACTGGGCACAGTGGCTCATGCCTGTACTCACAGCACTTTGGGAGGCCAAGACAGGCAGATCACAAGCTCAGGAGTTCGAGACCAGCCTGGCCAACATAGTGAAACCCTGTCTCTACTAAACCTACAAAATTAGCCTGGCATGGTGGTGCATGCCTGTAGTCCCAGCTACTTGGGAGACTGAGGCAGGAGAATCACTTGAACCTGGGAGGCGGAGGTTGTGGTGAGTCAAGATCATGCCACTGCACTCCAGTCTGGGCAATAGAGTAAGACTCTGTCTCAAAAAAAAAAAGAAAATGTTTCAGGCTTTGCAAGTCATAGTCTCTATCTCAACTACCCAGTTCTGACACTAGTACAAATGCAACCCTAACTGTCCCTAAGTGAGCCATGATGACTGTGTTCTAATAGGTCTTTATGAACAACGAAATTGGAATTACATAGAATTTTCACATGCCGTAAAACATTATTCTTCTTTCCAGTTTTTTCAACATCGAAAACAGTAAAATCTATCCTTAGCTCATATACAGTAGACAGTTGGCCAGAATTGGTCCATGAGCCATGGTTTGCTGAACCCCTGCTCTGGGTAGATTTAATAATTGTTGGGCTGGGCACGGTGGCTCACACCTGTAATCCCAGCACTTTGGGAGGCTGAGGCAGGTGGATCACGTGGTCAGGAGATTGAGACCATCCTGGCTAACACAGTGAAACCCTGTCTCTACTAAAAATACAAAAAATTAGTCGGGCGTGGTGGCAGCACCTGTAGTCCCAGCTACTCGGGAGGTTGAGGCAGGAGAATGGCATGAACTGGGGATGCGGAACTTGCAGTGAGCCGAGATTGCACCACTGCACTCCAGCCTGGGTGACAGAGAGAGACTCCGTCTCAATAAATAAATAAATAAATAAATAAATAATTGTTAATATTTTGCCATATTTTCTATGTAAACCATTTGAATGATTTTAGTGCAAACCATTTGAAGAGATATGATATCCCTAGTCTCTCTGAGTCTAAAATAGTCCATGCTTTTCTTCCCCATCATCTTTATTTTTTGAAGTCAGGGCTGATTGTTGTGTCTAGTGTCCAACACTCTGGAATTACAGGAATTTTTCCTTGTTGGGTATTTAATGTTTCTCTCTATTTATATTATTTTCTGTGAATTAAAGTTAAGTCTAGATGACTTTTTAGATTCAGGGTAAACATTTTTGGCAAGAGTTCTTCCTAGGCAGTGCTGTGCACTTCATATCTCATCTCATCTGGAAGCGCATAACATCTGGCTGTCCCAGGTGGAAACTGACAGATTCTCCATCATGAAGATGCACCATCCTTTTGCAATCAGCAAGTCAGCTCTGCAGGGACTCTTTGGCACCTTGCAAATATCCTATTTCCCAATTGCCATTCCTCTAAGGGTTTTAGCATTCATTGATGTTCATCTGAATCAATTGTTAGATTGGAGAATGTTTTTAATTGCTCTACAGATGGAATGGATCTATTTATTTAAAAGGAATTTATGACTACTACCACTACTTCATAGAAACTATTACTCAAATAGCTTCCTGTGGGACAGTAGTCCTGGTCTTACGTACTGTAGGTGTCTGTGGAGTGAATCAAGGTGTTTGGGGGCAGGAGGAAAATCAGTTAGCCCAGTGGACTCGGCCTCCCAAAGTGCTGGGATTACAGGCGTGAGCCACTGTGCCCAGCCCAACAATTATTAAATCTACTTAGAGCGGGGGTTCAGCAAACCGTGGCTCATGGACCAATTCTGGCCAACTGCCTACTGTCTATGAGCTAAGGATGGATTTTACTGTTTTCAATCTTTTATAAATAAAAGATTCAAGGCATTCATAAAGCTCCAGCTTCTTTCTGCTGTCACCATGACAACAGAAGCAAGTCTGGCTGAAAGCTTGTCAGTTCATTAGGGCTTCTTATGCTTATGCTCCCAGTTCCATTGAGAGGAAAATCCTTAACACTTATGATATTTAGATTAAATACAAGTGCCAGGGGGCTGGAGGACAGGGTGGCTTGTAAAGATGTGTCCTGCGAACTCCATTTGGCCAGGGATGACCTCAACACTGTTTTTTTTTTTTCTTTATTTAAAATAACAAGGTTACTATTTGCTACAATAGCGAATGCCTTGTTATTTTAAAAGTGTGGGTTTTCTTTTTTTAACAGCTGCACTCTGTATTATACTAATTGGATAGAGTGCATGTAAAAAAGAAAGAAAAGACTTACCTCCTTGGGGAAATTAAACAGCCAAGTGCTGAAAAAGACAGTCTGTGAGGCTTCTGTTTTTGGGGATAAGAAGGAGCAAACATACCTTTCCCTATGTGTTCCACTAAGTAAAGCTAAAATCCCATCCCCGGACATTGTGTATACACCAAATACAAGACTGCAGGGTGTAGAGGAAAAGGCAGAGCTACTAGGGACCTGGGGACTGAGGAATGTTCCAGGGTTCAGTTCATCTGGCTTTCTTTTTGATGTGTATATCCAGGACTGCCTTCTGGAGTAGCTAGGAACCCCAAACACCAAAAAACACAGACAAGAAAAGCCCCAAGAAAAACCAGCCCCCTCTAGTTAAAGGGCCAGGAAAGGGAGAGCCTAGCAAGACAGGGTGATAACTTTTAGGCAAAAACTCCAGCTAAACCCCATAGGGTAAACTGCAGTTTTCTTTAGGCAAAAAGCTTAGTTTTTGCCCAGGCAGCTGCAGCTGACCCCAGCGTCATCTCTCTAGCGGGGAGCCTGAGTCTCCCGCCCCACCCAGCAGTCATAAGGTGCCCCGTCCCCAGTGTGACATTATACTACTTTTAGATAAAAGGTAATCACTGGGAAAATTGGATAAAGGATACATAGGGCCTCTCTATGCTATTTTTTGCAACTTCTTATTATCATTTCAAAATGAAAAATTAAATAAAAATGGCCAGTCGGTTGGACGACATTTTTCCTTTTTCATGTGGGGGCTCCACAGTCGCCTTGATGTCCATTGACTGGGTTTGGTGTCTTCTGGTAAACGACTGGGATGAAGAGCTGCTTGCCTATTTAATCTGATACAATGTCCCTAAGTGTCAGGTTTGGACAGGGTGCTGCTTAGCACCGGGCAAGTTCATATTTACCTGAAAGATCCAGGGAACCTTTTGGTGCATCTACAGAAAAATAATCTGTGTTTATGAACAAGAGCCTCTGAAAGAAACAGGTATCAGGGACAAAGACAGGAAGCTTGGGAAACACTTTCATAACAAAACTCCACTCAATTCAATAAGAAGCCCCGATTCCCTTTCTTTCATTATTTATTTCAATGTAATTCAATGCAAATTTTATGTCAGGATGACAACATCTGACAGGGCAGATGGCAAAGGGGAGCCCCACTTTCAGCCTGCAGAAAATACTCACCCAGCACCCCTCACGATGCTAGGACAGGAAACACCCGTGACCAAGATAGACAAGGTCCATTTCCAAGGAACTTCCGTGAAAGTATCACACCTAGGACGTTGCTTGGAACCTTCTAGAAGCAGAGGAATGGAGCAATTTTGGAAGGAATTCGGGGTTTCTAGCCTGCAGCAGAATGAAACATAGCAGTCCCAAGAACCCAAGAAAAGTTTAACATGGACAGTGGATTAGACTTGCCTCTCCCGATTCAAATCTGGAAACTAGTGGGAAATTTTCTACCACATTGTGCATAAAAAAGCAGGCTGCCTTAAGGAAAGTTCAGCTCGTCTTCCTTACATGTTTGCACAAAGATCACATTTTGTGAATACTGTGGACCAGCAAGCTCCCTCTCACGGCACCATGTCTAGACCCTTTGCCTGGTATTGGGCTCACCAGATGCTGGGCACCGCCCGCCGCCCCCTCCACCACCCTGATTCTGCTGGCTGGAATTGCCAGATGAGACAGGAGACAGGTAGGTGTGAATGTCAGATCAACGGCGAGCCCATTTTTAGTGCAAGCATGGTCCTTGCAGTATTTGTCCTGCATTTGCACTTGCCAAATCTGGGAACCTCAGTTTCAGTGCACCCCTATCTCAGCTTCTTTGTTCTTTGGTTTCTACAGCTCCTGAAACTTTCAGAAAAAGGCTAGAGGATCACTCGATACTCTTCAGTCTCCTGTGCAGAGAGCTGGGAATGTTTAGGAATTCGCCTCCTCCCAGGACAACGGTGGAGACTCACTGGTGCAGGGAGCACATACTTAGCTCTCCTGCCTGTGTGGAGACAGTCTGAGGTGCAAGCCAGCTCCAGAGCTCCTGGGGACCAGGTAGGCGGGGAGTTGTCTGAGGTTGCACCCTGGCTTGATTCCTTCCCCTTCCCTCTTCTGCTTCCCACACCTCCTTACAGCTTTCCTGTAGGGGACCCTTCCCTGATGAGTCACATGCAGGTGAATCTTATTACAGGGGAATGCAGCTCAAGACCATTCTGAAATAAAAGATGAGAAAATATCACTTGAGGCTATAGGAGTTCGAGGTCAGCCGGGGCAACATAGCAAGACCCCCATTTCTACAAAAAATTTTAGATAAGAAAAAATTAGCCAGGCGTGGTGGTGCATGCCAGTAGTCCCAGCTACCTGGAAGGCTGAGGAAGGAAGATCACTTGAGCCCAGGAAGTCCAGGCTGCAGTGAGCCGAGATCCCACTGCTGCACTCCAGCCTGGGCAACGGAGCCAGAGTCTGTCTGAAAAAAAAAAAAAAAAGGTGGGTGAGAAAATAGAAAATAGATTTAGCCCTGACGAGTTGGTCCCCATGGTGTGAAAACTGCCTAAATAGACAGAAACTCTGGAAATTCTCTCCTCAGATTACGGTTTGATGTTATTAATAGTAGATACGGCTTAGAACGAATCCTCAAAACCCAACAGTATTGTTTATAACACGAAGTCTTTCTGAGAGTCAGAGTATTCTGTTCTAAAGAAAAGTCAAGAAAGAGTTCTAAACACAGGGTCTCTGGGGAGCCACGCAGGCCCCTCATTCCTGCCTGGGCCTGCCACTGGCTGAGCAGCCAGGAGGTCCTGGGACCTTGTGGGGACTCCACTCTCGAGGGCCCCACATGGATTGGGCCCCAGCCTGTCGGGAGGGCACCGAAACTTCAGCGGGCGCCAGCGTCCCCATCGGCGCCTTACTTTTGTAAAATTATCTCCGTGTGGGACTTTTTAGCTTTTTAAATTTTACCTTAAGTTCCAGGATACATGTGCAAACGTGTACGTTTGTTTCATAGATATATGCGTGCCATGGTGGTTTGCTGCAGCTATCAACCCTTCACCTAGGTATTAAGCCCTGTATGCATTAGCTAGTGTCCTGGAGCTCTCCGTAAACCCCGCCCCACCCCCACAGGCCCCAATGTGTGTTGTTTCAATCCTTGTGTCCATGTGTTCTCATTATTCAACTACTACTCTTGATTGAGAACATGCAGTGTTTGGTTTTCTGTTCCTGTGTTAGTTTGCTGAGGACAATGGCTTCCAGCTTCATCCATGTCTCTGCAAAGGACGTGATCTCATTCCTTTTTATGGCTGCACAGTATTCCATGGTGTATATGTATGGTGTATATGTGCCACATTTTCTTTATCCATTCTATCATTGATGGGCATTTGGGTTGGTTCTATGTCTGCTATTGTAAATAGTGCTGCAATAAACATACATATGCATGTATCTTTATAGTAGAATGACTTATACTCCTTTGGGTATACACCCAGTAATGAAATTGCTGGGTCAAACGGTATTTCTAGATCCTTGACGAATTGCCACACTGTCTTTCACAATGGTTGAGCTAATTTACATTCCCACCAACAGTTTAAAAGCATTCCTATTTCTCCACAGCCTCAACCACATCCATTGTTTCTTGACTTTTTAATAATTGCCATTTTGACTGATGTGAGATGGTATCTCGTTGTGGTTTTGATTTGCATTTCTCTAGCAATCAGTGATGTTGAGTTTTTTTTCACATGTTTGTTGGCTGCATAAATATCTTCTTTTGAGAAGTGGCTGTTCATATCTTTGCCCACTCTTTGATGGGGTTGTTTTTTTCTTGTAAATTTGTTTCAGTTCCGATATGGTTTATCTGTGTCCCCACCCAAATCTCATCTTGAATTCCCATGAGTTGTGGGAGGGACCCAGTAGGAGGTAATTGAATCATGGGGGCGCATCTTTCCCATGCTGTTCTCATGATAGTGAATAAGCTTCATGAGATCCGATGGTTACTATAAGGGGGAGTTTTCCTGCACAAGTTCTCTTTGCCTGCCACCATTCACATAAGATGCGCCTCGCACCTCCTTGCCTTCCGCCACGATTATGAGGCCTCCCCAGCCACGTGGAACTGTGAGTCCAGTTAAACTTCCCTCTTTTGTAAATTTCCCAGTCTCGGGTACGTCTTTATCAGCAGCATGAAAATGGACTTGTAAATCTGGATATTAGACCTTTGTCAGGTGGGTAGATTGCAAAACTTTTCTCCCATTCTGTGGGTTTCCTGTTCACTCTGATGACAGTTTCTTTTGTTGTGCAGAAGCTCTTTAGTTTAATTAGATCCCATTTGTCAATTTTAGCTTTTGCTGCAATTGCTTTGGCATTTTTGTCATGAAGTATTTGCCCATGCCTATGCCCTGAATGGTATTGCCTAGGTTTCCTTCTAGGTTTTTATGGTTTTTGGTTTTACATTTAAGTCTTCAATCCATCTTGAGTTAATTTTTGCATAATGTATAAGGGAGGAGTCCAGTTTCAGTTTTCTGCATATGGTTAGCCAGTTTCCCCAGCACCACTTATTAAATAGGGAATCCTTTCCCCGTTGCTTATTTTTGTCAGGTTTGTCGAAGAATAGATGGTTGTAGATGTATGTTGTTATTTCTGAGGTCTCTGTTCTGTTCCATTGGTCTATATGTCTGTTTTGGTACCAGTACCATATTGTTTTGGTTACTGTAGCCCTGTAGTATAGTTTGAAGTCAGGTAGTGTGATGCCTCCAGCTTTGTTCTTTTTGCTTAGGATCGTCTTGGCTCTTTTTTGGTTCTATATGAAATTTAAAATAGTTTTTCTAATTCTGTGAAGAATGTCAATGGTAGTTTGATGGGAATAGCATTGAATCTATAAATTACTTTGTGCAGTATGGCCATTTTCACGATATTGATTTTTCCTATTCATGAGGATGGAATGTTTTTCCATTTGTTTGTGTCCTCTCTTATTTTCTTGAGCAGTGGTTTGTAGTTCTCCTTGAAGAGTTCCTTCACTTCCCTTGTTAGCTGTATTTCTAGGTATTTTATTCTCTTTGTAGCAATTGTGAATGGGAGTTCATTCATAATTTGGCTCTCTGCTTGTCTATTGTTGGTGTATAGGAAAGCTTGTCATTTTTGAACGTTGATTTTGTATCCTGAGACTTTGCTAAAGTTGTTTATCAGTTTAAGGAGTTTTTAGGCTGAGATGATGGGGTTTTCTAAATACAGGATCATGTCATCTGCAAACAGAGACAATTTGACTTCCTCTCTTCCTATTGGAATACCTTTATTTCTTTCTTTGTCTAATTGCCCTGGCCAGAACGTCCAATACTAAGTTGAATAGGAGAGGTGAGAGAGGGCAAACTTGCCTTGTGCTGGTTTTCAAAGGGAATGCTTCCAGCTTTTGCCCATTCTGTATGATATTAGCTGTGTGTTTGTCATAAATAGCTCTTATTATTTTGAGATATGCTCCACCAATACCTAGTTTATCGAAAGTTTTTAACATGAAGGAATGTTGAATTTTATCAAAGGCCTTTTCTGCAACTATTGAGATAATCATGTGGTTTTTGTCATTGTTCTGTTTATGAGATGAATTACATTTATTGATTTGTGTATGTTGAACCAGACTTGCATCCCAGGGATGAAACCAACTTGATCCTGGTGGATAAGCTTTTTGATGTGCTGCTGAATTTGGTTTGCTGGTATTTTATTGAGGATTTTTGCATCAATGTTCATCAGGGATATTGGCTTGAAGTTTTCGTTTTTTTGTTGTGTCTCTGCAAGGTTTTGGTATCAGGATGATGCTGGCCTTGTAAAATGATTTAGGGAGGAGTCCCTCCTTTTCAATTGTCTGAAATAGTTTCAGAAGGAATGGTACCAGTTCCTCTTTGTACCTCTGGCAAGATTAGACTGTGAATAGGCTGTGAATCCATCTGGTCCTGGACTTTTTTTTTTTTTTTTTTTGGTTGGTAGGCTATTAATTATTGCCTCAATTTAAGAAGTAGAATTCAGGTATTCTACTTCTTCCTGGCTTAGTCTTGTGAGGGTGCATGTGTCCAGGAATTTATCCATATCTTCTAGTTTGTTTGCATAGAGGTGTTTATAGTATTTTCTAATAGTAGTTTGTATTTTTGTGGAGTCGGTAGTGATATCCCCTTTATCATTTTTTATTTTGTTTATTTGATTCTTCTTTCTTTTCTTCTTTATTAGTCTAGCTAATAGTCTATTTCATTAATTTTTTCAAAAAACCAGTTCCTGGATTCATTGATTTTTTGAATGGCTTTTCATGTCTCTATCTCCTTCAGTTCTACTGTGATCTTAGCTATTTCTTGTCTTCTGCTAGATTTGAATTTGTTTGCTCTTGCTTCTCTACTTCTTTTAATTGTGATGTCAGGGTGTCAATTTGAGATATTTCTAGCTTTCTGATGTGGGCATTTAGTGCTATAAATTTTCCTCTTAACACTGCTTTAGCTGTGTTGCAGAGATTCTACTACGTTGTCTCTTTGTTCTCATTGGTTTCAAATAACTTCTTGATTTCTGCCTTAATTTCATTATTTACCCAGGAGTCATTCAGGAGCAGGTTGTTCAATTTCTTTGTACTTGTGTTGTTTTGAGTGAGTTTCTGAATCCTGAGTTTAATTTGATTGCTCTGTGGTCTGAGAGACTATTTGTTATGATTTCAGTTTTTTTTTGCATTTTCTGAGTGAGGAGTGTTTTACTTTCAATTATGTGGTCAATTTTAGAATAAGTGCCATGTGGCACTGTGAAGAATGTATATTCTGTTGATTTGGGATAGAGAGTTCTGTAGATGTCTGTTAGGTCCACTGGATCCAGAGCTGAGTTCAAGTCCTGGATATCCTTGTTAATTTTCTGTCTTGTTGATCTGTCTAATATTGACAGTGGGGTGTTAAAGTCCCCCAGTATTATTGTGTGGGAGTCTCTGTAGGTCTCTAAGAATTTGTTTTATGAATCTGGGTGCTCTTCTATTGGGTGCATATATATTTAGGATAGTGAGCTTATTGCATTGATCTCTTTACCATTATGTAATGCCCTTCTTTATCTTTTTTGGT